CCTGAGAACTAAGATGGAATACCTCCAGTCAAGAGGGTCTCTGCACTCACCATACAATATACAGCAGCATTAACCTATTATATTACGCTGGTATTCTGTGAGAGCGTGGTCCTTTCCCGGTCGAGCCAACCCATTCGTGCTACAATCATAATATAACTGCAGCGAGGTTCTACCACTAATTTCTTAGAAATTATATGTTTAGACATGTCTACAATGCTAATACATGAAAGGTAGAAATGGCAAAAACCTGCATCAATTTATATACGTAGGCTATTACTATACTTCTCACTTATTATCATCATTACAGCCCTCCACTAGTCTAGTCCAAAGCTGCACAAAGGTCTCCCTCAAGGAATGCCATAAAGCACGGTCCTGAGCCACCTACATACATCCACTTCCGGCATGTCTTACCAGGTCGTAACTCCATTCAGTGGGCTGCCGCCGTACACTTCGTCTACCGGTACGAAGCAGCTCTCTCGAGAAAATTTCTTTCCCATCGGTTGTTGGTTTTTCGAGCTATATGGCCGCCCTATTGCCACTTCAGGTTACTAATCTGTTGGGCTATGTCGGTTACTCTGGTTCTACTGCGGATATCCTCATTTCTACTACGCAGCAACTTTAAACTTTCTAGCAACTTTAAACTTCCTCATACGTGGTTCTTCACTGCTGTCTGTAAAGGACCACATCTCATATTCATAAGTTATCACCGGCAACACTGGTTGTATAATCTTGTTTTCAAGTTCTAACTTACACTATGCAGTAAATAATTTTGACTCTATTTTATTACACTGAGGGACTCAGATTATAAATTTAGTTTTATAATCTGAGTATGGTTAAAAGAAAAAATATTTGGCAGCAAATCCGAATTACATACATATTATAATTTTACACATATTTACAATACGTCAACATAGAAATGCTTGTTCAATAAAGTGGCCTTGAAATTTTACGTAAAAATTGTATAAGTTGGATTGCAAAATGCCCAGACCGGAGATACCGTCAGGTAACGCGATCGTTGACTAAAGAGAGAAATTTGTCATAAAATTTGCTATCGAGATTTATCGTAACCAACTTGGTAGGCAGATTCAGGCTTAAGATAGCCAAAGGACGAGTACTAATAGGTATATGCGCAAAAATGCAATAGAACTAATATTATGGTAATGAGAATTTAATAATGCATCATATTTGTATATTGTACAAAGGCTTATCGTGGAAACAGTTTACATTTTTTTTTAAATTGTTATATATATATATATAACACTTATATAAGTAGCATTTATAAATAACACTTATAAATCTACATAACATACACGTATGTATGTTATTACTTATTACTCTAAGGTATTGACACTAAAATAACACTTTAAAATTTAAAAGCTACGTTATCTGCATAACAAGTAATGACGATGAAGTTTACATATTTAGTATGTTTAACAAATAGATTATCGCTTATTGTGTAAACAAGAGTCTTAAGAAACTTCTTTGGCATTATGTTAATGATAAAATAAATATAACAATGTTATTTAAATATTTGTGTCCCAATGATACGAGTAACAGAGTCAGTAATCATTGTTCTGGATGGAAGCTTATCAGCGAAACCTTTTTTTTTAAATAGAATGATGGCGACAAACGAAATTAGTCCACCTGATGATAAACAGATGCTGTACCTCGTAGACATCTATCTTTGGTTAAGAATGGTTAAGAAATTAAATGCAGATGTGTTGTCACCCCTGAGGATTAAGATGGAATACCTCTTTTCCAGTTAAAAGGGTACCGGTTCTCTACACTCACCATACGAAACACAACAGCATAATTCTGCAATTTTACGCTGGTATTGTGTGAGATTGCGATCCTTCCCCGGTCGATTCGTACTACAACCATAATATATCTGTAGCACTGTAAAACGTGTAACACACTAATCTGGTGTTATATTGAAGATATGCAATATAAAGAGCACCTTTAACCGTCATGCATGATGTATGCGTAGATTATATGGATGCGGAAAATCGAGAGGTATATCAGAGGTGCCAACTGGAAGTCTGTAGTCTCTGCCTATCTCCTCTGGCTTACGGGAGTGAGAGATTATGTATACGTGTATGAATATAATACAAATATAGACTTAATGAAATGATTGATGACAACCAAAAACATCCTTCCTGTACAATTAAACAAAATATAAAACGGAATTTCCATTTCGTTAAAAGTAAATGTTAATGAACCAAGAGGTAAATTTACTTAGAAGTCAGTTTGATTATTCAACAAACGCGACCTACTTAAAAAGTTTCGACTACGGCTTACGCAACGTAATGTAGATCCGCAACGATTGAAACATAAACAGAAACAGATTTTTTTATTCAACGTAGATTATAAATAATACTTAAGAACCTCTGTCGTAGGAAGAACCAGCATGAAACCCAAGATTTTTTTTTTTTAATAGGATAGGGTGACAAACGAGCACACAGTCCACCTGATGGTAAGTGGTTGCTGCGGCCCATAGACATCTACATCTATCTTCCATTACAAATCAAAATGCAGATGCGTTGTCACCCGTGAGGACTGAGATGGAATGCCTCATTTCCAGTAAAAAGGGTCTCCGGTTCTCTACACTCACCATACGAAATACAGCAGCATTAAGCTACTATTTCACGCTGGTATTCTGTGAGAGCGTGGTCCTTCCCCGGTCGAGCCGACCCATTCGTGCTACAACTATACTACTAATATAATTGCAGCATGGCTCTACCACGTAAATTAAAGAAATAACAGCTTACAAGCATGTATGTTACACGATTAACAACACAAAACAAATTAGAAACAGCTTGGTAGCGATCATCTTACACCCAGTGGTTATTGTCATCCATAAATAAATATTATAAAAACCCTTTTATACAAACTTAGTAGTAGTTAAAGTTATAAGTCAGCAAGCATAAGCTATTAAATAGATGTCCTTTGTTTTGAAGTTATTTATACTTTTTTAAATTAAATCTACAGAAGCACACTACGAAAAGAATTACAGACCAATTTCTATCCTAAATAAATATGGAAAACATATATACTTATGAAACACGATTCGGGTGATGAAATTGAACGCTTTAATATTAATTAACAATATTTTTTGATTTTTAATTAATTTATCAAGTAATTTAAAATTAAATATTTATCAAAAATAATTTGACCACTAATATAATCCGCTATCAACTAAATGCAAATATAAATTCCACACAATAGTAATGTATAAAATGGTTGCACTTGATCACTTTGCGAAGTTTCATAGAAACTTGAGGCTAGCTTAAAGCAGCAACGGAAAACCAAATTAAAATTGTATCATCATCGGAGCACCTGTTTCAATCATTTCGTTTATCATTGGTGTTACAGGCTACGGTCAACTTCCCGCCGAAAAACCTACGTTGTGTATCAACATCATTATAACATTCAGTCAAAAATCCACTGCTTAACGTAGACTTCCCCCATAGATTTCCAAATCTAGTAGCGATGTAAGAGAATCCACCATCCCATAATATACCTTGAATATTCCTAGGAAAAGAAACAGGGGATGGGTAGCAGCTTTTTTTATAGAAAAAGGGTAACTAACGAACACACCTGATGGTAATTGGATGCTGTGGCCCATAGACATCTACATTTAACTTCGATTAAGAATCAAAATGCAGATGCGTTGTCACCCTTGAGGACTAAGATGGAATGCCTCGATTCCAAGAAAACGGATCTCCGGTTCTCTACACTCACCATGTGAAACAGCAGCGATAAGCTGCTATTTTACGCTGGTAATCTGTGAGAGCGTGGTCCTTCCCCGGTCAAGCCAACCTATTCGTGCTGCAACTATAATATAGCTGCAGCGTGACTCTACCTTTCTCCTTGATAACAACGCAAAATAAAAAAAAATACGATTGCCAACTCACCTATCAAGCATGGTAAATATCCTCACTATGAGGCAATCAATGGGGCAGGCCTTCAGCAGTGGAATTTTGTGGACGAGAAAATTCTATTTTAATAAAAAAGGTAGATAAGCAAATTACATGCAACACAAAAGTATAATGTGTACATAATTTATTTGATGATTTAGGAACAACTTTTTAATGTTTATTAGAATAATCATAATTATCTAGGCTTATCCATTCTCAGTTAGTACTGTTTAGTTAACTTTTCTTGTCTAATCTTTGTCCGAAGGAATTTATTGGTTCCTTTTATTTTACTTCTTTACCGAACAGAAAAAGACCTAAGCTAAAGCTGCAAGACTTTTTGGATTTAAATAATATTACTATTGATTCATTATTGCATCAGGTAAGTTTTCGTGTAATAATAATATAAAGTATAGCTTGTATTATTAAGTGATTAGATTTATATTTTTTGTCTAGTTATCTTATATTTTCCCGTTTACAAAGTTTCAGTAACGCCTATCATTTCAAAGTAGTACTAGCTAGTGTTTTATCCTTCGTTTTTTGTTCAGTAGCTAAATATTCGAAATAATAATTAAATTGTATGTATGTATCCATACATTTTTTATGAAAAATTGGAATCTTTCCGCATGCCGCCCACTTTTTCGTAACTGTTATTTAAACATATAAATAAAATTGAATTGTCTTTAATATCAAAATAACTGGCTTCCATTTAACTCAAGGGGTTATTTACGTGCTATCAAAGAATAAATAACCATTTTAAAAATGGTTAGCTCTCTGTCTCTAAGATAAAATAATTCAGACTTTTTAATGAGTAACCTACTTATAAACATAAATATTTTATTTATTATTTATAAATGTTTTTCTTACGAGTTTTCAATCCTCATTTAAAATGTATTCATAGGATAAAATAAAACATAAAATAAAAATTATTCTTGAGCTAATAGAATACTTCAAATGTTTTCTTTTATGTTCAGTCAGTCAGGTTTTAATTTATTTGATGATAACTTTTACTTGATTATTGAAAAATCGGCCCTTATTCTTATAAAAAGTTATTTCCATTTTCTAATTTATCAATATTGAAATTAATTATTTTCTACTATTAATGAAATTGACAAACTTACTTTTCAAAGCCCAGACTTTCCTCTGCAATAATCCATTGACGTATTCTTGTATTTCCTCCTTGCACAAACCTTTCACTGATCTCTGGATTTCACGCCACTGCGTCACTAATATTTCAGAGTCGATTATTTTCAACATATTTTCTATACTGACAAAGTCTGTGTAATTTGACACTTCCATTTTAAGTTGCAATTTCGATTCGTTTAAAGTGTTTCGTATGGATTCATTAAGTTTTGAGAAAACATCTTTATTAGGTTTAGACGTAGTTTTGTCAGCTTGTTTCGTTGTTTTCACTATGTGTTGAACATTGTGTGATTTTTCGGTACTAGAGGTTCGTCTTTCTGGTTCTACATCGCCGAAAGCCTCAGCAAAAGTCAGACCATCGTCGTCGGTAAGAACATCTAAATTTTCTTCAGGTCGTTTGTGATTTTTACTGGAATTGGGTGACATAGATTCTACGAGATCGGATATATGAGGACTCTCGTCATCTATACCACCTTTAGCTGACGCATGCTTAATATTTTGGAAAGCATCAATCAGCGCACTTCGAAGCTTTTCTTCCCTAACATTTTCTTTATTTACACTAGAATTCAATTCAGCGCTCAAAACGCAGCTGGCACATAACAAAATCACTAAAAGAGACATTTTGAAGAAAAAAAAGTATTTTTTTTTAATTCACACGCACATGGCTTAAGCACTGGTCGGGTTCGAATGTTTATTTTTATTTTTCGAATATCAATGGTGCGCGCGCGGCGGCATAGTCGGTGAGACTGGCGCGCTCACGGTTGCGATGGACGCTATGACATAACGAAGTTACAAAGTTATGGCGGGACTTTCACTGTCGGCACAGGTGAGCTGCATCCTTGTAGGGTGGCCGACGCCGTGCTCTAGATATTTTATGTTAAGTATCTTAACTGCTACGTTATTAATAACTTGATATGGAGAATATAATGCTTGTGACCTTCACAATCAATTTTGTTTTATTTCAGTGTTAGAAGCTATGTGCAATGTATGCCCTAATATTTTGTCCTTATGTAGATACACATGGCTTTTATCGGGTTAATTTTTCAAACTGGACCAAGTAATAAAGTGAAATTAAATCTAATAGTACACTTGGTGGTTAGGATTTCATGGATATCTGCAGCCAGCTTAAAACTAGGAAGGCCCCAGATTCACTGTTGCCTCCGCGGCACTAAGATGATGACATAAAATGATGCCAAACGAGAGTGCACTCTACCCTGTGGTCGACTTTAGATGAATTTATACTCGATTAAGAATCAAAGTGCAGATTGAGGACTAAGATAGAATACTTCGTTTTATTAAAAAAAGCCTCCAGTTCACTAGACTTACCATACAAAACACAGCAGCATTAAGCTGCTATTTGACTTTATTCTTATGTTTTTATTTTGTTCTGTGAGAGCGTGACCCTTCCCCGGTCGAGTCGTCCCATTCCTGCTACAGTAAAAATATATTTGAAACATGCTCTACTACATATAATTGATTCACACTCCAACTATATTCTCATAGATTTTGACAGAAAATTTTGTATAGGTATGTGTTCTAAATAAAGACCTGTAAAAATATATGTCTTGATTTAGAACACATACCATATATATCCATTAAGGATTACGTAGACACATTTTGGTTTCTTTTATTTTGTAACTTGCCTTCTTTTACTTGCGTATAGACCGCAGATTAAAGCGTATAACACATGAGAATTTAATTACTTACTTTACAATTTTAATTACTTTACATAACGATAGTACGAATGTGATCATGCATTAATATTTTTACAGAATAAGGGTGACAAACTAGCTGTCGATTATGCTGTGGCCCATGACACCTACACAATGCTCGATTAAAAATCAAAATGTAGATGCGTTGTCACCTATGAAAACTAAAATAGAATGACTCGATACCTGTAAACAGAGTCCGGTTCTCTATGTTCACTATACGATAAATAGCAGCGTTATGCTGCAATTTTATGCTGGTAATCTGTGAGAGCGTTGTCTTACCCGTCCAAGTCGACCCCTTCGTGCTGCAACCACGTTATAGCTGCAGAGTGACTCCATGCATTAAGCTACTCTTCTTTTATTTATAAATTACTGTTCTCTACAATTCTTTATTTTAAAATTTTATATTTATATTTAAAATGTATTGTTAAAATATGTTTCGCATTTATTTGATTTTAAAACTGTAAACCTATGGACGTGAATATAGCGCATCCATTGTCTGTTTGTGCAACTTAAAAATAAGTGAAAGGTAATGTTTACAAATCCCGCTGATGTACATGGGCCTTCCTCTATATACAACACTTGTACAAATAGGTATTATTTAGGGAAAACAGCAAACAAAAAATCAGCGCAGGTTTAAAAATATGTCCTGTTTTGTTTAACTAATGACGTTTCACTTTTGTTGTTTATTTGTTTATTTCTATTGTGAAGTTGCCACCCGCACGCAGTGATATTTAAATAGTAGGGGTGATCGATGTTGTAAGCTTGTAAGCCACCGACGATGACATTGAGCTTGTCAATAATAGCTCACAATCGACGTCCGATGTCTCTTGAATACAAAAGAACAATGTTGGGCAACATTTATGCTTGCTATAAATCAATAAAACACATCAAACAACATAGCCTTTTAATAATTAACAAATTTCGTTACAATATGTATATTATAATATAGCTAATATTATTTTAATATTAATATAATATTATATTGTTGAGACTTTATTTATTCTTTCTGCTACACTACGACCGACCCATAGTCACTATAATATATATATATATATATATATATATTAAAATAATCATTTTGAATCCTAATTAGAAATACAAATTTAGATGGTATCAGCAGCGTCAATTGTATTAAAATAAAGAGAATGTTCTCCAGAGAGAAGTTTAGTCACAACCGCCAGTCCCAAAGGAGACTAGCTAAGTAGCTGATCTAGCTAAGCAGATGCTAAGGACAGAATTGAGTGTATGCGAATGTATGCGCAAGTACAAGTGCATTTTCTATAGCCTCACTCTTTTAGTCCGATGGGAAGGCTATCCGACACAACCGAAGAGAGATCAGGTGCACGACCAACGGCTTTACGGTCTATTCGAGGCACGGGGTGAAATGTTTCTTCTTCCGGGGTTTTTCTTTTTGGTTCCGGGTGGTACAGAAAATTTCTTGAAAGAAAAACCCAATAACAGATTTTAGTCTGACTCGGGATTCGAACCCAGGGCCTTACGATCAGCAACTACGTTTACGACTACTACTTTTTTTAAATTATGGGTGACAAACGAGCGCACAGTCCACCTGATGGTAAGTTAATGAATTGTGAATTAAAATGCAAATGCGTTGTCAACGCTGAGGGTTAAGATGGAATGCCTCGATTCCAGTAAAAAGGGTCTCCGGGGTCTACACTCACCATACGAAACACAGCAGCAATAAGCTGATATTTTACGCTGGTATTCTGTAAGAGCGTGGTCCTGCCCCGGTCGAGCCGACCCATTCGTGCTACAACTATAATATTACTGCAGCGTGGCTCTAGTACTCCAACAAGGTCGTCAAAATATATTCATTTTCGCATGGATGCAAGTGATGATGTAGTGTTTTATGTTTACGATCCACTGGATTTGGTAACATGTTCAAGAATGAGATTGAATTCGTTTACATGTAAACTATTCTCACAACGTTCTTTATCAAGCCACAGTAGTCTTAAGGGTGTAGACATCCGATATAATTACAGGCTGAGAGGTATTTTATATTAGTTCTCAGAGAGACAACGTGGAACCTAAAGCCTTCTTTATTTAAATCTGGTTGTAGTTGTCCATTTGCATGCGGTAACTACTTAGACCCTTGTCACTTCAATTTTTTTTTAAATTGCCCTTGTAGCAACAAACATACGTGATACAGCCACGCTGCAGCTATATTATGGTTGTAGCACGAATTGCTTGCCTCGACCAGCGCTTGATGCTGCTGTGTTTCGTACGGCGAGTATAGAAAACCGGAGACCCGTTTTACTGAAAACGAGGCATTCTCTCTTAATTCAGTTTTTTTCTTATAACCTTTTTATTCACTAAATAGTCAATGTATGTTGTGATTACCTATAAAATAAATACAATTATAGTGTGCTTAATTTTTTTTTATGAATATGATCTTTGTATTACTGTTGTAATTTTTGTTAGTAATCCTAATCCTAATAAATAAATAAATAAATAAATTAATCATTAGGGATGACAACGCATAAGCATTTTGATTCTTAATTGAGGATAAATATATATATGTCTATGTGACACAGCATCCACTAATATTCTATTAAAAAAGCAACTTTAGGTCACCAAAAGTGTCTTTTGTAGTTACAGTTACGAAGATATCAGAAATATAATTAATTTCTACAATTAGTGGCTAGGCTAGTTGTATTACAGAGCGTTACAACGGATCCGGAAGTCCGTACGTGCGGAACGCGTGTGACCGCGGGGAAAGCGTGCTGTCGTAATATTCGAACCGTGCACGATTCGAAGCGGTTATTATCTAAGACAATAAACAATATTATAACATAATTCTCACCATTAATTTTTCTAATCACACCTTTTATTATAGTTACTAATTAGGCGGTGGAACTTTTATGCTTAGGAGCTTGTCTTGGCCTGGGTGGGAATCATCCTCTTAGATTCCTGTTTCTGTAATAAAGCTAATTTTTCGGATTTCACCGTGCTTAATTTTAACTGTTTTTAATGCCCGAAGTTTATGGCACTTTACAGCATCCATGATAATGGTAGTATGAAGTGTTTGACTTCCCAATATCGTAGTTAGCGAAGGCTATCTCTAACATTTAATTATTAATTTTTGGTCCGATTTACGCAAAATGATCTTGCAGTATCCTGAAGTCTTGCAGTAGTATGCTTACTTTGATTAACTATAACATAAGGGCGTCAAACACATCAGTGTCTCACCTCCCGTGACTTTGGGTGCTGTAAAGTGTTAAAAATTAAAAAAAAAGTTTAAATTAACGCGATCAAATCCATTGTCCAATGTCGTCCAGGCAAAGTTAATGGCATTTCCTCTACTTTGTCTAAGATAAAATATCGCAGTTGAAGATGTGTTTCCAAATAAACAGATTCCGCTTCAGTAAAGTATTGGTTTATTATTTCTATTTATCCATGTCATAAAGTTTAAAAATTAAATTTTTTTATTTAAAAAGTAGGCATAATTAAACATACATTTTGAACATTCAATCCCTTTTAAATAAATATTACAGGGTTATCACCTTGTAACTCTCGGAAATTAAAAAGGGTTATTCCATTTATTTACCCTAAAGTAAAATAAGTAAAATATTTTTTTATTCTTTATTGAAGTCGATTTTTTAGGGTATCTAAACGGAATAACCCGGCAAAAATTAACAAATCAACCATGTTACTTGGTTTTATAAAGTTTATTAATATTTTTATTCCGTGAGTACTATTCGCGTAAATATAATAAATCATTTTCTGTTCCTATCACCAAGCAGCAGTGCGTGTAATGAAGTAATTTCGGTTTAAAGTGTAAATCAGGCCACTATGCCGTCTAATAATAAATAATAATGTCCTCAGACTGAATACCGCTCACGGCGGCTAGTCACAACGAAGTCTCCTATAGTCTAATAATAGGATGGCAAT